CACACATACATACATATATATATATATATTGATTGATTGATTGAAGAAAACCAAAGAAACCTTGCAGAAAACGATGGAAAATTGAAGAAAACCATGCAACAATTGAAGAAAACTATGGAAAAATTGCAGAAAACCATTGGAAAACCATGGAAAAATTGAAGAAAACCCGGGAAAAATTGAAGAAACCAATGGAAAAATTGAAGAACACCATGGAAAACTTGCAGAAAACAATGGAAAATTGAAGAAAACCATGGAAAATTGAAGAAAACCATGGAACAATTGAAGAAAACTATGGAAACATTGAAGAAAACCATGGAAAAATTGAAGAAAACCATGGAAAAATTGAAGAGGCACGAACCCCAAAAAAAAATCCAAAACTGTAAAAAAAAATACCAAAAACAATTCTGCACCCCATTATGGAAAACCTGGTTTTTGGTCGAGAAACCTGGTTTTTTTCAATAACCCAAAAAAAAGAAGGTTTTGGATTCTCAAGGTACATATATATATATAACCGTGAGATTCCACCACTATACCTAGCAATTTTCTTGCTGCTTCAACCGCTGGTTCCGCAGCCAGGTGTTGAATCTCTTGACCCTCAGATTCGCCAATCGGGACCTGGGAGGGGAACTGGTCTGGCTTGGAGGTCCGACTGTAGTGTCTATGAAGTCTATGAATCAATAATCCAACTATGATTACAAAAAACGAACTGGAACGATCCACCTTATTTTTAGCTGGGTAAATCCACCCTCATCTCATGGTCCCAAAGGTGTGACTTATAGCTTTTTACCATGGTTTTTGGGAGGTTTTGAACAGGGAGACTTTGGATGATTACACGCTGGGAAATATAGGGCCATGGGGGTGGTTGAAAAGAAGATATGGGGCCAAGTTTGGCCATGGGATGTGGAAAATGAATGAACATGATGATCAATCTTTGGATATGGGGGCACCATATTTTCAGAGAAAACAATGTATCGGATATATGGGTATGGATCAATACCTATTAATACCATTTTTTAGTGGGATGAACATCCATTTACCAGCTATTTTGATGTTCACCAGGGGTACAAGGTTTTGACACACTGCCATATGATGCAATATATATATAGTATCATTTGTGGTCAAAGGTATTTGCTGAGTGGTGGGACCATGGAGAGTGACTGTGGTTCTCTGACACGTAAATGAATTGTATTTTGCATCTAGACGCAAAAAAACAATCACGACTTGATGTTGTGTTTGCACTGTTGGACATTCATTTTGTGTGTTTCGCCCATGTGTTTTTCTGTTAACCATCCAGAAGACTGGCTTTCTCCGGATCTTTTCCTTCCCAGGAGTTGGGTCATTTGTTTCATTGCCATCACGTGGCCAATGTGGGGAACCCTGCCGGAACTCCCGCACCTTGGTGCGACGAGATTGAAGAAAGATGAGGAACGTCAGAATTTGCTCAGATGGGAATTTCACCATCACCATCAACAGTTGTTTTAACATGTTTTAACAAATGTCATGGTGCAGGATCGTCTCAGTAACTGTTTCTGGACTTTCGCAGCGTGATTATTCTGAGCTGCAAATGACAAAATGCTGAGAGTGAACCCATTTACCTACCATTCTACGAAAGGTATTCGCATAAATTTATGGTTGAAGAAAGGTAAATCATAAATCTCTCTATTCTGGATGGTAATTTGAGAAGGGACAAAAAACACGTCATGTTTCAGCCATTGGTTGTTGCTTTATGAAAACATCCATTCCCCCGTGCTTTCCCTCACTTCCCAGGTGCGTATAACCTTTAAGGAGGCCATCGGAGTGGAGGGCCGTGCGGAGTCTCAGCAGTTGGGGACCCTTTAATTGTAACAGACGACCAATTTCTGAGAGCCACAAAAAGTGAGAATCCAGAATTGAATCAGGGGTAAGTCAGTGGGATTTTCCGACAGTAAAAAAGGTGATTTTCAGCATCAAACACAGGCATTTCAGCATCAAATATGGGGAGTTGAGCATCAAACCTAGGGAGTTGACTAAAAAAAGCGTTTAGAATGGTGGTAGGTCAAGTCAGTAGCGTTGTCCGCTGGGCAATTGGAGTTGCAGCCTTCCTTGTAGCACTGTATCGTTCAATTGGCCACAGTTTATGCGTGATATTTGCTCATATATGAGCTTGTCTGAGAATAGGTACTTCCAATTCCAATGGTTTATCATCATGTTCCCTGTTACCAATGGTTATATGATGTTATATGCGGGTATTCACTATTATTTTCAGACAAACATGCTAAATAGTTTGTTTCCACCATTGTTGGTACAAGTGGTGTCTGACTCTTACTACATCGTATTATATCGTACTATACATATATATATATATATATATTAGTAAGCCCTCACACTAACCTGTGGCCATGTTGGTGTTTCTTTTCATGAACCCATTTCCACTCCATTTCCCAATTTGTTGGTGACATGAGGCGCGGGGTACTTCGATGGCTATGGCATCATCCGCGACATCATGCAGAAGCTCGGTGCTGAACAACTTTGCTCAGGTGCTTTGAAGAGAAGGATTAACCCAAACGTGATGCCCCATAGTTAGCTACATTGGTTGTTGTTAGTAGGTTAACTATAGGGTTTGTAGTGGGTGTACTATGTGCGTACGTTATACTGTATATATATATATGTATATACAGTATCTATGTATTTATATATATATGTATATATTTGTAGTCAACGAGGGTTACATACCAACTTACAACTGGGGGCAGCACATTATTTGGAATGTTCCCCAACCCTCAACGACTTTACACTTTTGGAATGGGTTGAAACCACCAATCACTCATAGACTTTTGGGGAAAGTTTTAGCCAATTGAATATTTTGTCAGAGAATGAAGCTTCTTAGAAAACCTAGTCGGGGTTAGTTGTTTTGGTCACTTTGCACAAATGCCATTTTTTATGGTCACTGGAACTTGACCATTTCAGGAGTAAGAAACCTACTGATATTTATGGTACATTGATGTAAGTCACACACTTACTTTACGAGTATTTGCTCCACTGTTGCATGCTACCAGTATGGCAAAAAAGTGCAATGCCTTCACTTTACTCCTGGGAAATGCCAAAGTGACACAACAACAGGCTGGCCCGAAGTGGCCGAACACTTTAGACAACTGCGTATTTTCCAGGTTTGAAATGACCAGACCAGGGCCAATATTTGCACACCACATGACGTATACGAAGAAGTGCGGCGTTTCTACTCCATCCTTCCCTGATTCAGGGGAACAAATCAACTATAGAGCTTATGGAAAACAGAAGAGTTTCGGGCTTGCCCATGTTTGGGGTACATTGAAAAAAAAGTATCCAACAAATGTCGGCTATTGGTACATGTATATATATATATACCATCTGGTTATTTAACATAGCCATGGAAAATCAGCATTGTTAATAGGTAAACCGGTAAACCATCTATTTCTTTCTATGGGCCATCTATACCATATAGCTATGTTAGTCATAACCAGAGGATGTATATATATATATATATATGGTCATGGAGTCCAGACATTTTATCCTTCGAGCGATTTCGCCTTCCCAGGAATCACTTGATGCAAGTGTTGACCCTCGTGGCAATGGAGGCCTGGCCCAAGCTTCTGGTCTGGGGATATCAACCAGACAATGGTAGTATGAGTGGGATATCAACCAGGGGCTACCCTCTGGTAAACTAACATAGCTATGGAAAATCACAATTTTTAATGGGTAAATCCACTATAAATGGCCATTTTCAATAGCTATGTTAGTTTACCAGAGGGTACGTGGTCATTTCACGGAATTCATGGTCAATAAATGTAAATCATAATTGATTTGGAATGTTCTGGATGAATTATAACGACCGCGTGTGGCGATGTCACTGGAATGATGTGGAATGTAGGGCTAAGTATCCCGAAATGGTGTTTTTCCGGGTTGGTGAATTACTATAATTCAGTCAGATTGACGTTTTAGTATCCTTGGGAACCTCCTAGAAGCTGTGACTTCTCAATTTGGCAGCCTTTTGAAATCTCGTGATTCATACCATTTGATCACCATACTTGATACTTCACCTTACCTGGATACCTGGCTTGTGGCCACACACTGCCAATTTTCATTTCTTTTTAACCGCAACTCCAAGTCAAGAAGCCATGTGTAAGCAGCTGGTGATATCACCAAGCCAATGTCAACCCCAATGAACTAAACAGCTGGTGAATTGGAGGGGATACCGGGATAGCCCATGATAGTTCTAGGCCCTATAGTCTGCTTCAAAAATGGCGAATCGGAAAAAATCAATCGCCCTAAAATAGGCCAATTTTCAGCCAGGCACCTGCCACCTTAGAAGCTGAAGACGTGAGAGATGAGAAGGCAATCTGCTGGGGACCGGGACGGGCAGGGCACGGGTCAAGCATGGTCAAGCCATTAGAACGATGGCCTGGCCGGGCAATGGAACAGAGCCACGGAACATGGCAAAATGATGATCTGGTTGGTGGTTTGGAACATTTGGATTATTTTTCCATATATTGGGAATAATCATCCTTACTGACTACATAATATTTTTCAGAGGGGTTGAAACCACCAACCAGTGATTGCTGATGATTGCTGAAAAAAAGCTGCAAATGGCTTATGTTCACCAAAAATCTTCCATGGCACATTGATAAATTTCCGGAGGGTATTTTGTATTTGGGTTGCACACATCGAGCGGCTTCAGTGATGGTGCATCAAACTGAAATCAGAATCGGTCTCACAGAAACAACGGATAATTTTGAACCTCTTTGAGATTCTCATGCTGATTTTGCCGTGGATCTGTCAAACAGACAAGATACCAACGCAAGTAAAAGTAGCAACATCTAATTACTCTGTTCATTGTTGGGATATTGCATGTGCCTGTGCCGACACAGAATGGCATGATGGTTGTTGGGTCTTGTGTGGTAGAAAACGTCACCGGCTTGCATTCCAAGCACACGCCTAATTGAGCAGCGTCAAAACCTTCAAGAAAGAAGGTTATATTGGGGATGAAACTAAGTTGGGTCCGCAGAAGTGAAACACGCGTCCGCGGAAGAGCGAAAGCTGATCGTCCGATCGTGGAAGGGCCGCGGAAGCAAGGTTTATTCACGTTATATAATCTTCATAAGTTCCGCTCCGCAGAAGCAGAATCAACTTACTGATCATCCGCGGAAGCTAAAACTGTGGTCGCGGAAGCGGCGCGTAGACCGCGCGGAAGACACGTACGAGTAGAAGAGAATTTATTTAAAGGTTTTCGCCATTGCTCAATTTAGTCTATAAAAGTGAGATCACTATTTAGAAAGCAGTCGATCAGTGACAGTTGACTAAGTGATGTGATCTAACGACTGAGTCTTTGACTGAATGATATATTTCAGGGTGTATTGCCGAAGCCCATGATTAAAAGTTCAACCTCCAGTCTTGCTGGTTTTATCCCTCTTCTTTGTTGCTGAAACCCCTTATTCCCAGGGTGTTGTCCTAAATTCTTCTTAGGTAGATCTCCAGTTTTTATGTGTTTTCATGGATCAGTGATCACCATTGTTTGGTCGTGACACTAAAACAACTTACAAAATCCCCAGATTGCCAATGTTTGCTCGGTTTCTCCACCGAAAATGGTTGGTTTTTCTGGTTGGTTTACCAATGTTCACGGATTTTCGGATTGACATATCTTCAATTGGCGTGAAATTGCCAACTTACTTCAAGCCGTATTTTAGATATGATATGATGTGATGCGAGAAAAGTAATACACATTGATATTGTGGCAAATGGTTGGGTGAAGTACTACATTTCCCAAAATTTCCAAGGAGGGGAATGAGATGATTATTGTCAGTTATTGTGGATCATTCCCTCATTCCCTACGTTGAGCACCAGTATATAATGTGGGTAAAACAATGTCATAAACCACCCATTTGGGAATGGTTTCAATCCCACCTATAAAAATGGGTGGTTTGAGGGATGGTTTTTCATTATTCATGTTTATTCTTGTTTTACCCACATATATAAAGATTTCCCTTCAATTTTTCCAACTTTCGGTTGCTGGAAAATGCCATCGCTCAGGTGAAGGTCCTCAAGCAGATTCGACCCATCGCTCCACGCGGGACGCTGAGTGGTATACCTGGTTTATGGGTGTTGATTCCCCAATGGTAATAGCTACTTGGTGGCTCATCTCACGGCTCGTAAGTGGGTTAGTTCACCCCAGTGATTGAAGTGGATTAACCCTACAAAAATCCCATGTAAATCACTGGGGTTATAACCCATTTACGAGCCGTGGGATGAGCCACCAAGCAGGTTTTGACCCATCCCCATTTCGCCAAGATTTTTTTTGGGGATTTCATGGGACGAATATAACTGCTTAACTTGAGTGACGTTTGGGTTTATGGGGCATGTACCTATAGACTATAGTGACTATGATGGGGTTATAAACTAGTTTGATGGGAATTGAATAATGCCTGGGAATGAATGTGGGTTGTTATCATCGATGAACTGGGAACTGTGTTCTTAAGCAAGCATTGCAATGACCAAATTTCACAGGGTTTTGAACATCGCTCACTTGGCCCGTGGCCCCAAATATCAATGTGTCAGAGGTTAGGTGGCCACATGTGGCCACCTTTCACCAGCACGTGGATCTCAATCTATGTGACATGTGGGTTTTATTCTTGCGTGGTTCGATTGTCAGACATAACTTAGGAATGATGCGGTATAAATACATATTGAATCATATTGATAAAACATGATACATATTGTGCATATATACATCATATGCAATATAGTACTATGTGTATATATTCATAGGGAACTGATGTGACACCTTACATGTGACCGCCTTCCACTTGAGGTTTAGCCCCCAAGTCCTGGGATACCACCTTGAATGTAGTCAAATCTCCCATTTCCCACTCCCTGCTGCTAAACTTGTCTGGAGCTCCCCAGTCCCATTTTGGGTACCCGACATGCGCTGTGTGGGCACATCCCATGACAATTTGGGGCGCCCCATAAGTGGATAGGGGTCACATGCCCCAAACACTGTTATTTACGAGGTTTCAGGCATCTGACCCCTTTCCAGTCAAATGATCTCAAATGACTTGAGTTGCTCTTGTGGCATCTTGTGGCGACCCTTGGTCTCAATTTCTGTGGGTTGCTCTCTTTAGGATAAGAGATTTGGGAAGACCATGGGAGCCCCAAAACATAAGCTTAAACATAGCCACAAAAATCCAGATTCATGTGATGGCAATGATCGATTTTCAAGGGATTTCACTGCAAAAACCAAGGCCCACAGAGGCTGAGAATGGTTAAGAGTTATTTAGAGTGACTTAGAGTGATTTAGAGTGACTTAGAGTGATTTAGAGTGACTTAGAGTGATTTAGAGTGATTTAGAGTGATTTAGAGAGATTTAGAGAGGGTATACATGTCAGGACATATATGCCAAATGGATAGGGGTCAGATCTCTTGGGTCACATCCGCCTCCTATGATATATATATATATGTATATATACTGTACATGGTTTCGTTGTTTGATATCAACCAACCAGGAATGCAACGTGTTGAATCTCATGGAGAATGGTCAGTTGGTGCTGAGGTGATTGCGTCATTGGTCAATACGACACCTGGCCGCGTGATATACCGGGGTCCCAGGCAAAGGCCGAATACATCTTGCCATGGAAATGGTATTGCCAACCTGGCAAGATGTATATAAATAATCTATATAAAAGTAATGATTAATGTGGGTAAAACATGGTAAAACAATGTCATGGTTACCACCCATGACTGGGAATGGTAAATATACCATCTATTTATGGTGATGACTCGGGGATGGTTTATGAAATTGGTTTACCCAGATTATTACTAAGTATGGTATTTGTTGGTAGCATTCTGATAGAATTGTTAATGATAAATATTGATACATATTTATAAAATATTTAGTTATAACTACTACCAACTACAAAACTGATATTTATTATTGATAGATATTGATTGATAGATATTTTATAACTAAACTGTATGGCCAACCACTAATGCCCACTGGTCATTTTTTTGTGGAGTTTTTAGGATGGGACCACCACTGGCCACTGGCCTCTATGGCAGAGTCTGGTAATTTGTTACAATTGGCTGTGGAAGCCATGGCCCACAGATGATTTATGATGATTCACCTCTTAGGAACTGGTGGGTTTTCCATTGGAAACTGCAACAAAAAACCCTGGAGGGCAGTTTGTCAAAGGAATATGGGGGACAATGTGGGGATGAACCAACCGTTAGACAAGTACAAACGAAATAGGGCCAAATATAGTTCATTTGTTTGTTCCATGATGTCATTAAAATTATCAACCAACTAGAATGGTGAGATATAGAATGGAAAATAGAATGGAATGTAATCTTACTGGTACTTAGCAGGGAATGAGGGAATGATCCACAATAACTATCAATCATCATCCCATTCCCCCATTCCCATCCATTCCCTACTAAGCACCAGTAAGTAATTCATGGCTATAAATGCAAGACTGCAACCCCAAAACACGCTCGCCACAGGTTTACTTCGGAGAAACTCAAATCGGTCACCAAGGGTGAACTGGTACAGTACCAGTTCAATGACATGGAGGTTTCCTAAAATGGGAGTACCCCTAAATCATCCATGTTAGATTGAGATTTTCCACTATAAACCATGCATTTTGGGTACCCGCATTGATGGAACCCCCCACATGAAGTATTGTATTTGTTTGACAACAGATGTAAGGTCTTGTATGTTTGAGCAACAAAGACTTGATGTTGTAAGAAAGTAAGCACGGGATCAAAGCATCTATCATCCCAACATGCCAAATTTTGACTTTTCGTGAGGGAAGACTCTCTGCAGCAATGTGTCCATTTCCGGTTGCTGGTTTCAAATCTTTGGCATATTCCATCCCTAAATCTATGGATAAGTATGGCATGATGATCTCAAATGATTCAAATTTTTGGGCTGGGAACTACAGGAAGGCTATCAGAATGATCCCGACATCCAAGAGATCAATCGAAAGCGTGGCTCGGGACACCCAGGTGAAAAATGGCACGTTTGTTGCTGGTCGACTTAAAAGAACACCCCCTTTGTTTCGTTGTTTTTCACAACGGTGGACTTACTTGCATCACACGCGAACATGATTGCTGGCATTTGGCATTTGTCATTGTTTGATTTCATGCATATATGATATATATATATATGTCATGCATGTGTAGATCATGTTAGATAACTACTATTTAAAACACCTTAGAAAATTGCAGGTTGATACCTCGTGTTCGATGGCTGAAATTAAACTAAATTTGTAGAACTATCTTGACATGCATTTTTTCATAAATCCAAGCGTATCATATTGAACATTAGAATTGAACTCCAAATCTGTGTCTGAAATCAAAAATGATGCGTTCTACATAAAACGTCTGGAATCCCTCTGTTATACGAAGCTTATGAAATCTTAAATATGTCTATGACATCTTCTAATGTATCAGAATTTGATTCCACATGTTGTTTTTTTTTTTGCATTGATTAAACTATGGCTATTAGTGGATCCCAAAACTATCTTTGTATATACAAATATCCAATGTTATCTCCTTATAAAGATGATATTGGTTGTTATTCAGCTTTTAGATCAACCACTAAACAATCCAAGATCAACATGATTCAACATGTCATAAAATATCTACCCTCTGGTAATTTAACATAGCTATGGAAGCCATGGCCCATAGAAACAGATGATTTTCCCAGCGAACGAAGCCTCCATTCATAGGTGATAATTTCCATGGCGAACTGTTAAATTTCCAGAGGGTAAATCCCATTATATCCCCTATAAATCCCCTATAAATCCCATTAAATCACAATAAATTACCATTAAATCCCTTTCCCAGCTAGAAACCTCCATTTATAGGTGATATTTTCCATGGCTATGTTAAATTACTGTACCCAATGGCAAATGTTTAGTGCTTTGGTTTTCGGCATCGCCATGCAGGCTATGCCTCCCGATCTCCCACCTTCGCGGTAGCGGTGTTGTACTTGGACAACGAGCGATGGTCGCCCGGTCACAACTTTGGTTTATGGTGTTTAGATGAAGTATATATATAGTGAATGATATATGGGAATATGGTGTTTTTCCGGTCACCATATATCATCACCATATAGATGATGAAGAATCACCATAGATGGTGATGATATATGGATATATATATGGTGTCCAAAAGACTTAAGTATCTTAAGTTTACTTGGTGTTGATTAGATGGTGATTTTTTTCGACATGTTCCTTTTTTGGGGGAAGACTGAGCTATTCTTTTGAGATCTTGAGACGGCGGTGATCTGTTGATGCTGATTTGATGGTGATTTTTACGGTGATTTGATGGGACATTCATGGAATATCAAGCGGCATATTGATATCATATTGATTGGATTACTAAAACAAGGTTGAAACAAAAAGACCATCCTCCAGCAAATTGATCAAGAAAACTATAGACAACCATGGTTCCTGAGGTTTCATCTACAAAATGGTGGGTGTTCCATGATGAAACCCATATCTCTTTGTATCTTTACTGGGTTTCTATACACCGGGAACGGGCCACCCTTCTAAAACGTACCACTCGCGTCACTCGTCGGAGATTTGTTCGCAACCCAGAGTCGTCCACCTCATGGAACGATCGCTGGGTGATTGTTCTGCCATAATTTGATGACCAGAGGGTATTACTAATGAATTACCATGGTGTTTTTTAGCCATAATGGTGATTAATGGTGATTAATTAAAGGTGATAATAATGGAAAATCACCGTTACCTCTTATTCTCTGGCTCTCTTTTGGAAACTCAGAAGTTTCCCATCGGACTTGCCATGGTTTAATTTGTTTCCCATTTGAGAACCAGGCCATCGTTTCACCATCGGATCTCCAAGGTCAGGTGTGCCTTTCATCATGAAAGCTGGCAAAGGCGTGGAGCCCGTGGGGCGCCCGTGCGCAAGAACCCGTCGATAGGATGCGGTAAATGATGATGGTTATTATACCTGGTTAATTTCATGGTTAATGATGATGGTTATTATATGGTTAATAATGGTTAATGATGATGGTTATTATACTGTTAATTTCATGGTTAATGATGATGGTTATTATATGGTTAATGATGGTTTATATATGGTTATTATACGGTTAATTTCATGGTTAATGATGATGGTTATTATATGGTTAATAATGGTTAATGATGATGGTTATTATACTGTGAATTTCATTGGTAATGATGATGGTTATTATATGGTTAATGATGGTTAATAATGCCAGGGTTATGCCGAACATAGCCATAGTCAATGTCAGCAGAATCGTCCAAAGTGTGACATCCACAAATGGCAGGGATACTGGGTTTTTGTCCGGTGTAGAAGCATCACCTTTGGACGAACAGTATCCGGTGTTCGGGCTGTTCGGGTCAAGCCCCAGAACTGGTCAGAGGGGGAGGGATTTCAAGGGGCCCATCATCCATCTTGGTCAAATCAATGTCTTCAAGGACTATAACATACTATAACCATCTATAACCCATATCACATATAAACCCATATCACTGTATCACAATCAACCATCATGTTTGATCGTCAAACCCCCATGTTTGATATTTGAATCCATATGGGTGTGTCTGAAAATAGTGTACCCCTAAACCCAATGGTTAATGATCATTATCCCTATTAAATGGCTATAATTGGGAATATACCCTATTTTCAGACAAACCCATATGTTCAATGGTGAGAAGCGCAAAGAACCATCACCACCTGACCAGGCCTTGAAGTGCATCAGACGATCGTTCGGATCCAGCCGTTCGTTCGGTTTAACGGTTTGTTGGTGACCAAAGACACTGGGATTTCGGTATGGTCAACATTGGCCAACAACAAAAAGATCATTTGATCATGATTATATCACGGTATATCATAGTTATTTAAATGTGTTCTCTAAATATCAATAGATCATAATATATCAAAGAACATTGCGTGAATTATATACTAGAAATAAGATGAATTTGGTTTGTTGGAAAATGTGGGAGGCCCTAACTAGGGTGATTTTCCCCGCAACATGTTGGCTTTTTGTTGGAGATATTTTGGGTTCCCAAAGTTTGCCGGATTATGGTAAGTGGATAATATGCCTACTTGCAGTTTCGCACGGCTTTCAGCTTTGTTCCGCGTGTTTCATGATTATCCACAGTGTCCCATGGTTACTGTACTGTAGGTTCAATGATGCCACCCAAATCAACCTTGCAGGAGGCAATTCCTTTTCCATCCTTTTCCACAATGACCACGAGACCCAAAGGTACATGAGGAAATTAAAAAAAACCCGTCAATTAGAGTTAGTATTGCAGGTTGCCTTTTTGTACCGGGTATAGTCCATTCACCGTAAAACGATAAGGAAGAAAAAAAAGCGATAACGCTAAGTATTATATATACATATATATATATACATGCATGTGTGTATACATATATATATATATGTATACATATGTATGTATATGAATATATGTGTCAACATATGTTACCATCATGATTCTGGCACTATGTGCTTCCTCTGGTGGTATGGGATTCATCCATGTTAGTCACATGTTTTGCATTGCGTTGTGTGTTTGTGGGGATGTCAGCGTGACTGTTCGGCAGTGCAGTGAAGCATTTTGGGAAGACCAAGTGTAAGTGTGTCCCACAAATGGGGAGAATTTACGTGACACAAAACGATAACAAAACGATAACAAAAACGATAACAAAATTAACCCGAAAGCCATCTTCAAACACCATGGCCCATTGATCACGTTGTGGCTACATGTGGCTACGGTGAGTTTGCTCCAAGAAGCGTTTTTGCAGCAAAGGTATGAATGCCCGAGGTCAATGGAAGCTGAACGAATGATTTTTTGGATGGCGGCCGCATGTGCATAAACCTCTTTGATTGTGATAAGTGCAGATAGCCTGCAAAACGATAAGGAAGAAAAAAAAAGGATAAGGTGAAAGCGGCATACGCAAATTTATACGTTTTTTTTTTTTTTATCACCTCACATAGATTACTACAGCTTTGGAAAGGTTGATTGTTGTGTAGCCACTACCTGCACAGCGCAGCAAAAAGGATAGGAAGGTGAGGACGCAAGTGAAAGGCATCCTGATCATCATGTTGTCACAATGACAATGACAATAGTGATGGTCATACTGGCAACCACAGCAATAATAAAGTGTTCACAATGGTCATAAGTATAGTCGTCATCGCCATCGTCATCACCATCATCATCATCATCATCGCCATCGCCATCGCCATCACCATCACCAGCACCACCACCATCACCAGCACCACCACCACCATCATCCTCATCCTCATCCTCATCCTCCTCATCATCATCATCATCATCATCATCCACATCATCCTCATCTTCCACATCATCCTCATCATCCATACATCCACATCATCCACATCATCCACATCATCCACATCATCCACATCATCCATTGTCATAGTACAGTAAGAATCATAGCAATGATATAGTAGGAACATCACCACCACTTTTATCTGGAGCCGAGTTTGTTGTACAACTCCTGAGGTTTAAGAAAGCACCGCCGAACAGCCTCTTTGGAGTTGGGAGTCTCAGAGAAGCCCAATGATCTTCCAATGGTCGTGCTATTGAAAATTGCCATCTATAGTGGATTTACCCATAAAAAAATAGTCATTTTCCATAGCTATGTTAAATTACCAGAGGGTAATCAAACATGGCAAGCTGGACAATCCTCTGGTTTGGAACATTTTTTAATGTTTCCCAATAGTTGGGATGATGATCCAATCTGACTTTCATATTTTCCAGAGGGGTTGTTTTACCACCAACCAGATAAACATGTGCCCATATTCTAGGTCCGAGTGCATGCTAATGCAGTTGTTCTACAAGGTGGTGCCCCCCAAGTTATAAGTTGGGTTATAATCCCATTAACTATAGATATATCACCTATAAACCATAGTTATTGGAGTTATAAACCAACTTAGCTATCGAACAGGGGCACCACCTTGTACAGTACATTGGTGTCTACATTGCGTGGCGTTTCGGATCGGTGTGGGAGCCATCCCCTTCTGATACGTTTCTGGCATGGCCGGCTCAGGAGCAGCCGCAGAATGAGTTGGTGATTCGGATCCAGCCCAATGAAGCCATCTATTATAAGGCCACGGCGCTAACTACGCCGGGAGTTTGCATCACCCAAAAGCTTGGGCTACCCTCTGGTTATGACTAACATAGCCATGGTATAGATGGCCCATAGAAATAGATGGTTTCACTATTATTTAATGGTGATTGTCCATGGCTATGTTAAATAACCAGATGGTAAGTAAGGTCATGTTTTCGCAGCAAATTATTTTAGCTCAGTGATGTTAGCTGTTTTCATGGCAAAATGAGTCACTTTCGGCTCTGCGGTAGAAGGAACCGCAAATGTTTGATTCAGAAAGGACAAACCAATCTGTTAGAGAGTTAGAGAGCTTCGAATTCCCGGTCATTTCAAGTGAGATCACAGACCCATCACAAATGTTTGATGTTTTTTTGGGGGGCTGTTGTTCCTGACGTTCTTTGCTGATGATCTCCCTTGCTATTCTTCCCCAAATTTGATCGCAACAGTCCCGATGCAATCAGTTGGGTCTAGCTCCTCACCTCTATGTTTGGGGGGTGGTTGTCAAGATCTTGAACAATTGGTCACCAAATTGGTCACCAAAAAACAAAACTCACCAGATTTTCCTGGTCGGTGAAAATACCTTTTGTAGCAGCCTTGGAATGTTTTTGCAGTTTGCCATATGAATATTGGTTGTATATCTCATGGTATTCCCATTACCCGCCGGTGAATTAACAACCCTGAAAATGGTCAGCTTTTAGTGGAAACTAGTCTTCCAAACGCAAAAATGGCAGGATCTATGTTAAGCTACAGGATATATATATATATTATTATTATTATTGTTATTATTATTAATAATTATTTATTATTATTATTATCATTATTATTATTATTTGTATTATTTTTATATATTGATAATGTATATATATATATAATGTATACATATATATGTATTATATATAAATTTTATTATATATATATATATATTATATTATATATATTATATTATATTATATATATTATGTATATATTTAGTTGGGTACATCGTGAAATCACCATCAATGTCCCACAGATTCTCCTCGCCCCAGATCTTGGCAAAGATGCCCGGCTTGACCCAACAGGCGGAGTTGGGGAGTTGGGACCACTTTTCAGCAAGGTACCAGTGACATAGTATCTATAAAGAAGGTTGGTTTTCATCATCCCATCTGGAAATGTTGGTAAATGCTGGTTAATAAAAAAAACAAAAACATTAACATAGGAACATTGTTGGTTATTGTTTGAACATTAATTCTAATGTGGGTAAAACAAATTCGTAAACCATCCTCCAGTCATCACCATTTCTATACGTGGTATAAACTTACCATTCCCAGTCATGGGTGGTTTTTGACATTGTTTTACCCACATTAAACAACTCGGTAATAATAGAGGGTATATGAAAATCATAGGGATTGAACAACCAATGATGAGGGAATAAGCCTGTCCCTATTGTCTATAAACAACATTTTCCAGAGGGTATATGAAAATAACTAATAGGGATTGACCATATGATGGAAAACTGGTGAGATTTGGGATATTAGGAAGTATCAATGTGAGTCTAGCTCTACTTGGGATTGTAAATAGTAGGAATATTGGATCCCAAACAACAAGAGGCAATAAGCAGCATTTTTTTGACAGCGCATTTCGTTGCCTCGCACAGAGCCTACGTTTTCAGTTGATGTAGCTTCGCGTAGCCTCTGCGTAGGCACCCCTCAGGTGTGTAGTGTCTTGGCCCCAAGAAACACAGCTCAAATGGATTTTGTTTCTAGGCTTCTCTTTTTTTATGAGGTCTATCCCCAACCAATTTTACACCATTGTAGGGGGTCATATGGTAAATCATCCCAGAAGTAGAACATTAATCACTAGGGGGATGGTGGCTATTGTGGAGCTCCGGCTCAGCGCAGATGAAAAGATTTATGAGCGTTGACAGAGAACATGAAAACATGGGTTGAGATGGAGCATGGAGCTGAGCATATTCTTGTTATTGGGAATTTCGACCTAACTGAGGCTCTGAAATTTTGACCAATGTGCCCCCATGAGACTATAGAAATTGGACCTAACAAAACTCCACAGACAAGGTGGATTTTTCACATTTGCTTATGCTAAGTTCCTGTTGCATAATGATTGATTTCAATGGATGCAAACAACCAGTTTTTGTCTTTGTCACATGTTGATATACGAAGATTTATGTCGTAGGGGACCGGCGGAACAACATGTGGTTGTAGCCTTGTTTTTAGAGTTATCAGTTTCGTGGCAAGTGAAACTTTGTCACTCGACAGTAGCTATGCCACAAAAATGGGGATTCTTGCTTGCATGATTTTAACGATTAGATGTGTAGATACCTTACTTAGCCAGTTCTGGTAAAAGTGACTTGGGTTATGTTTTCCCCGGCCGCTTATTGATGCCAAGTATCTATCCCCTTGTTGATTGACAGTCCAAATCCATCATGGATTCAACCAGCAACCATCAGAGGTTTGGGCGTCCATGCACTTGACCCTCATATGTTGCGGAAAAATTCTACCTCCGATACAGGGGTGAAATTTGCATGATATCCAAGTATAATTTTTTGAAACTTGGATGAAGTTGAGCTAGTAAGTCCTCACTCCCTCATTTTCCGCCTGTGAATAGGTAGCTAACCCCAGAATCATGTTTGGAAAATCACCCTGCTTCCCCATCTCTCCGAGGTAACCTGAAAGTGAAGGAGTCATATAGCTGGTTTCATGTTCCATTATATATGTTCCCATTTAATCCCATTTATACCTGTATTCAGCCATCACATTTATTGTAAATCTTCATCATATATGGGATTGTCTGAAAATATGCTACTTTTTTTGTTTCATTGGCAACAAGCATCCATCATGGTATGTACCGATTCTTTTAATAATCAACCATCAGCATGTTTCTCTTTAACATAGAATCATTATTACCAATGTTTAGACAGACGCAAAATGGACAATTTGGTTTTGCATGTATATATATATATATTATATCACCATTATTTTTGTTATAATGTTTGATATTATTGGATAGGCCCGAGACTAAATGTTGATATAATATTATAACCATTTTTGATATAAGAAATGTTATTATATAATTAAACATGTTATATCAAAAATATAATTTTATATAATATATATTACCATAATAAAATATTTTGATATATCATATATTTTAGTATTACAATATATATTACCATAATAGTACCATAATAAAATATGATCATATTTTGCACCGGCCATTTTCGACCTTTTACAGTTTCCTGCACGTGGCGTGAGGCCCGAGACGTGGAGCAGACCGTTCTGGATCTGGTCGGCGGCCTTGCGGGGGCTTGGGGGTTCACCAGTGTGAAGCTTGGGTCAAAGGAACAGATTTAATAGTGATTAGTGATGGTTAATATATGGTTAATAATGGTTCCCCTCCGGTAAATTAACATAGACCCTGAAAATCACCAATTGTTAGAGGAAACTAATCTTCCAACCCCTATCTACCAGGGTCTATGTTAATTTACTGGAGGGTAATATTGGTTAATAGTGATGGTTTTTATAGTGGTTGAAGATGGTATAAACCAACAACAATGGGAATATGATGGTTATATATCTGGTTGGTGCTTTAGAACCATGGAATTTTATGACTTTCCATTCAACTTGGGAATGTCATCGTCCCAACTGACAAACATATTTTTCAGAGGGCTAGGTCAATCACCAACCAGTATGGTTCAAATTAACCATCATTAACCACATATTAATTATATATTAACCATATATTAACCATGGCATAATCAGAGGGGTTGGTTGAAACCACCAACCAGATGCTTTGGATTGATTGGTTGAGTTGTTGGGGAATGTTCCAACAAAAATCCCGAGGACGATCGTGGTGTGATTCAAATTGACATGGTCCATGTGGGGTGAAACCGGTGAAACCCCAGGAAGTGATCCAGAAAAAAATCCCATGGCAAATTGTTTATTGGGACAGCGCCGCAGACTGACGACATGTTTGTCCCTTAAACTGGAGGAAACCTCAAAGATATCATGCATCAATGGTCACAATTACGATAAATGCAGGCTAGCCAGTTTTTGAGATACCCATGAGACATGTTGAGATGAACGCACAAAACCGAACAGTGAAGAATATACAAAAGAGTGAGATGATAAGCAACCAAATTTTGGGGATTTGAGACAAATCATAGTATTTTACAAGACTCTATAGTAATAGTACCCATTTGAGGTTTACCATCGTGAACCATGATCAATTTCATCATCAAGCGCGCAGAGATTGTCGATCACAGGGAAGGTGACTAACAAGAATGGCCGAATCATGTGGCAAACCCAACAATAATAAGGATTTACCCGCGTCCCGGAACTATTTGGAGATTATGATCATTTAAACATCGTTGAACGCTGGTTTGTGGTTTCGAACATTTTTTTTATTTTTCCATATATTGAGAATAATCATCCTTACTGACTATATAATATTTTTCAGAGGGGTTGAAACCACCAACCAGACATGATTGAGTTTTGTTTTTTGATGCCCACCATGTCTTGTTTTTTTTTTTCGCAAGCGGCGTATGTATGATTTTCACCTCAGTATCTTTCCAAGTGATGGATACTAGGAAGGAATCATTGCATTCGCCACAAACCAACAGCATAAATCTACAATGGTTCTTGGAAACCGCTGATGGGCCTTTGGTGAAAGGATTGTAAGGTGTTTGCACATATTGATTGTATTCAGGTCGAAGCCATCCAAATGTGGGGAACACTTGAATTTGAATTCGACTGTTCTACCTTTTTGGACCTGCCCAACAATATATACAGGATTATATAGTTGTTTGATATGACAAACCCAACAAAATCAGGGATGAGGGGATTCCACATCAGTATGGTTATGATTGCCCCCTATTTAGGGATGGTTATGGCATAACAAAATGTGTTTCCCCCACTTGCAACTGGTTTGTAACCACCAGTAATTCCAGATATATCTACTGTAAACCCTACTTAACCTACCTACAAACCAATTAAGTCAACAACCTGGGGCACTATGTCCATGACATCCAGCGCGCGCTTCTCTGGAAACGCGCGCGAAACCGCCAACCTCGAAAGCCTTCAGGACTTAAAGAAGCGCTTCGAGTTGCGTCGCACGCCAGAGGTGTGCCTTTTGCGAACATGATTTGAGTCACTAAAGATACCTTATAGGATTGGTTACTTGGTTCGTGTAGGGACTTACACTAGCTAATTGATTGGCGATTGTGATAACCCATTTATTGGGAAACCTATCATTTTGGCGGAACTTTTTTTTTTCGGAGCATCATGGCACATCATCATTTCAGCAACGTCGTTCGGATTGTTCGCACAAAACTATGTCATGTTGGGTATAGACTCTGGTAAACATACAAAACACGATGGAAAGATCCACCATTTATTATGGGTAAATCCACTATTTTGACTGGGCCATGTTCAATAGCTATGTTAGTTTACCAGAGGGCAACCATTATTAACCATAGATTATCCATATATTAACCATGGATTATCCATATATTAACCATATATTAACACAACATGATATCGTCACTCAAAAATGACACTTGGGGATTGAGTTTGATTATCGCCAGCTGTGACCTTTGCGAGCCTTGAGAATGGTGAGAATGGTGCACTGGTGGCGATGGCAACTGTCTTCAAACACATGTGGTACAAGGTGGTGCCCCCCAAGTTATGTTTGTTGGTTTATAACCCCATGAAAACTAGTTCGATATATCACCAACAAAAACCACAGTTATTGGAGTTATTTGCACCAACTTAGCTATCGAACAGGGGCAACACTTTGTACTGGCTCTAATTCCTGGAACTCCGGAACTGGTGACACCCTGACACGTCACAGCGCAGCTTACAATTTAGCTTGGCAGATGAAGAAACTCAGCATCCCCTCAGAGGCTAACAAGCATGAGGCGCATACAACGATATAACGTTGCTCTGGGGCATACAGTCAAGACACAAGTAGGTAAGTGTTGGCATCTCCCATTGTGTCGATGTTTTTTTTCCCACTAGGTTGTTTTATTGTTACTGTAATTATGGTTTGGAACATTTTTTATTTGTCCATATATTGGGAATTTATATTCCAACTGACTTTCATATTTCTTCAGAGGGGTTGAAACCACCAACCAGACATGTTTGAGTTTTGTATATTAACCATTATCAACCAGGTATATTAACCATATGATATATACCATTTGCAAGATGGTTAAAACCACCAACCAGCTATATGTTGGGGCTAATTTTTGGACCAAATGGGACTTCGTAAGGTCGGTGCCAGTCAAAGATCACCTAATTGGAAGTTGGTCTCGCGACGGGGGTCCTTTTTGATTTCCGATGCCAATGCTTGCGCACGTGGTAACGGTCGTGACGTTGGCGTCATGACCTTAACTGTTCATAAGTTTAGTTTTTTTTCTAGTTGTTCCAGATTTGTTTGCCATGTTTCCCCTCAATTTTTCCATATGTTTGTGTTTTTTGCCAACAAAAAGAAGCCCTCCGTGACTGGTGATAAAAACAATAAAAACGCTGCCGCGTATGGTGCAATGGCGCTGGGCTGTGGCCTGTGTGGCCGCGGCAGCGGAAGTGGGGACCTCAGATTCTGCCTCAGATGTCCCAAAAAGTCCCAGCGGGTGATGAAAACCAAGGGGCAAAGGACAAACATATGCATATTATATGCATATTATATATATAGTCAGTTTTATGAAGTAGGTCCACCAAATATATATTATATATAATTTATATAGCATACATATATATATATGATTTGATATCCGTACATGCTTGGAGAGTTGTAAGACAAGTCAAAACAGTCCAGCCATTAATTTGGTGAATGATGCTAAGCAATGCTAAGCAAGGAGGAGGAGGAGGAGGACAGGTTGTGATGGCAAAACAATGAAACGATGAATCGTATGCCAAACTGGCTGATTATGTGTTGTTCAAGTGTAAAAAATATTATTGGTGACTGGTCATCTGAGTGGTGAACGGCGGAATGTTTGGATGTAAACGTGGACGGAGTTGATATGTGTTGATCTTATGCAGTTGTAGGCTAGCAAATGTAAACATGTACACATTTTGTTGACTGACCAAATAGGGTATGACAGACAAGCATGGTGTGTGTGTGTGTAAATAGACGAGATATGATCAAATATTGTATGTGATGTGATGATGACACAGGGTATAGTGTAAGATAGTAGAAGTGTATCATGTCACATGTCATATGTATTGAAACCAATTTGGTTTCACCCTCAATCGTGATGTGTAAATTGGATTCTGCTGATCCAACAAGCTCGCCTGCAGCTATAGAGCAAACTTCCAATCATTGTGCGTATATCAGGTTCCACATAGGTTGTTATACCCATACTTGTTGGGAGTAGAAGTAGAGATCTTAGTTGATCTTAGTTGGTCCCAGTCTTGTTTTAGCTAACAAATGTTGAGATCATCATTTCTCCTCGTTCCATTTCGATGTTTGTCGACAAACTTTGACAAACTTCGATCGTATTCCCAGTACGTTCCCATTCCTCCTCTCATCGAATCTCCGCAGATGATGATTGTATATACAGTATATAACTATACATATTGACATATGTACAGTATATATCCATACTTTATTTGTTATACTCCCATCTTTCTTCTTTAAAGCTATAGATTTGTGTCTTGCAAGTTTTCCAACATTTTCCAACCCATCTCCAGGGCCCAGATAGGCCCGGGGCGAAATCAGGAGCTCAGAAGCTCCTGCCGTGCGGGGCAGATCCTGGAGCTGGCTCAGGAGCCGCAGGCCTTGAATTTCTCCAGCAACGCGGGGCTTTGATGAAGCGTTTTGACCATTTCAGCTAGCCACACATTGGAAATCCAAAAATATGTTTTTGTTCAATTTAATCATGTTCATTTATTAATCATGAACGAAAGTTTCTGGGAATTTAAGATTTGACAAGAAATTGTGTTTCAAAGGATATATCTAATGGAAACACCATATATCAATTATCAGAAACAATATCCTTTGGTTCAATGGTGCAAAGGGAATTGAACCAATATCCTATGAAAATCAAACATGGCGTGAAAAATTTAATCAGTTAGCAGGAAAAGCAATTTGGCAAACATGAGATTTCATCAAAGTGTGTACTAAATCTCTGCGGTTCTACCGTTTTCCCTGGGATCCTCATAGACGATCTTTCTGGATATGACATGTTGCCTAAATATCCTTAGTGGTGCTTAGTAAATGAGGGAACGATTCACAATAACTATTAATAATTCCAGCAACCCCCATTCCCATCCATTCTCTACGTAAAACGCACCAGTAAGTATCTTACATTTTGCCATTGCAATATCTTCATGACTTCGGGTAAAACTCCCATGGACAGATAGATCTTGGCTGTTTCCAATCACATGTTCCGACATGTGGCTGCACATCCTTCGGATTTCCTAGCCTGTGCCATGCAGAGATCCTGATAGATGGCGAATGTTGAAGTTTAAAACCTCATTGTCAATTTTTCAGAAAACGTCATTAATATTGAACAATGCCATTCTTGAATATGATTGATAGATCAATTGATACATGGCCATGGTAGAACATGCCATTGAACAATGGCCATGTTAGGATGATATGTGATGATTGTCCCCATCGGCCCAGCCCCTGCCAGGTATGGCCTGGTGCTGTAGATGGTTTGGAGTGTCACAGCAGCGTCACAGAGAGGTGGGAGCGACTCCCGGTGGATCCTGGTGAGATCGGTTTAGATGTCATGCAGGCGTTTTGTTAGCACACTCATTGACCGTCTTCATAAATGATGGTCTAGATGTACGTGTGTGATATACATATTATAGATCATATTATATATATATATATTATCAATATATATATATATTGATGATGGGAAACCACCCCAACATGGGCCAACATTTCTTGGGAATTGCCATCTATAATTTTCCGAGACGCATGAGGTCAATGAGGTATACCGCTTTATGGCAGCATCCCATGGTTGAAGATGGGAGAGACCACTACTGGAAAGTCTTCACCCCAGCCCCGTTGAAATGTGTTGGAATCAACGTTAACTGCCAAATCTCCCGTTGCTTTTATGCTTGCCTGCTGAACGGGTATACATTCAGTATCATCCAGACGAAATATGATGAAATTAACAAGTATTGGGCTGAATAGACTGAGAATTGTTGCTGATGCTTCAAGTTGAAGTGAGGAATGTGAGCAAAGCAACTTGCAATGTGAACTGTTGTTGACCCTTTTTCATGATTCATGATGTTTCAGATTTACCAAGAACGATCTCCCCATGTTGTTGGCCCACGTTCTGAATGATTTCAGTTGGTCGATCCCTGTTATGGTATTTTGTACCTATGAATACACATTAGTAACTAGTACTATAGCCATCTATAAAATTCTATAAACCCCGTTCTTCTTGGCTGAATAGTGCCCTCAGTCTTGGAGTTCTACTCCGAAAAAGCCGAGTTACTTTGGAGGTGTTGTCCAGAGAAACCTGTTCAACAAGTTCTTGCCTGGATACAGCTCGCTTCCGGTGGGGCAGGGCGCCAACAAAATCTCAGCAAAGATGCTTTGGATAATTGTGGATACCAATTTCCAACCAAACTTTTGTGGGTGATAGGTGCTCATAATTGGCTGCGATGAGTTTGTATGAGTTTATCTTTATATGTTGGAATAGCCGGGATTCCTCGCACAGCCAGTACATTCAAAACCACCAAACGAGAGATGGGATGTTGAACAGGGTACCATGCGTGTAGAGCACTCGGGCAGCCAAGCGGATCCAAAAGTGCCCTGAATTCATCCTGTGGTTGACACATCGCTCCGCAAATCAAACAATTCAGATATGATTACCCTCTGGTAATTTTCTACATAGCTAATTATTGAAAATGGTCATACAAATAGTTTATTTACCCAGCTATACAATGGTGATTTTCCATAGTTTTTTTGTATGTTTACCAGAGGGTAACGATGTTTTTTGTGGCAATCAATCATGGCAGGTGAACATGAACCATGTAGAGTTGATGTTCCCATTATTCAGCCTCCATCTAACTGGGAAGTTTCAATTGCCATGTCTACGGGAGGATAAATTGTAACTTGCCCAGTCAAACGATCACATTGGTTTGGCTAAGCTGAGACCCAGAATGTGCCGCCATTGGCCATTTTGCATCATTTTGTCAGGGATCCAAAGATATATATATATAATATACGATATATATATATATATATATACACATGTATATACATACATACATATATATATACATATATATATAGTTATATATATATATTATTATGTATAGATATACCAAAAGCTCTGACTCGAGGATCCTCACATGTAGATCATTTCCAGCACATTTCACCTTTGGGGTACCCTTATTGCGTCACCACTTCCTGACCCATCTTCCATCAGCCCAAGCTGAAAGTCCAGTCGTGATAACTCACGGCTGACTACATGTGCATGGAATGTTATAACTATTAGATGTTGTCAGGAATAGTTTTTTTTTAGGAATGTTATACTGTTATATTTATTTCTTAGATGTTGTCAGGTTAGATAATGATGATAATGTAGTACATGTTGTACTACATTTATTACATGTAATGCATCTATAGTTATCACAACTACTAGTTAGCTGATGTGTTGAACATGTTGAAACCTCTGACCTGAATAGGCTGAAACGGATTTCCATTCAGTTTTCATCTGTTTTCTCACCTTTTTTCAGTGATTTTTCCATTGTTCCCAGCCATTTCCGTAGACTTTTCTTTTCTAGGGCGATAATGGTAATTTATTTAACCATCGGAAGTGAAACTTTCTGCAGGGATTCCTTAGAACCAACTAGTTTCCCTGCTGTTGTCTTACTTGGGTGTGTAGTTCCAGTTATAAATGGGATATATGGATATATACCATAGTTATAGGGACTATATCCCACTTATGGAGGCTGCTACCATAGTGATGTATATATATATATATATTCTATATTATGATTATATATATATACATATACTGGGTCAACCTTGGTTAGATACTTTAGTACTCTCATCTTTTGCTATCAACGGTAAAAGTAGTCTGCTCCAGCTAATTTTTGTGATTTTTTTGAGAGATATCCAAGATTCACCATGTATACCCTCTGGTAATTTAACATAACTATGGAAAGATCCACCATTTTTCATGGGAAAACTCACTATAAATAAATGGCCATATTTTCAATAGCTATTTTGACATAACCAGAGGGTACATTATACATCCATCAATAAGCCCGACACCTCCAAGTCAAAGCGCGCGGTTGGTCACTTGGTCAGATCACAACCACCAACAGCTGGAGTCATTGGAAGTTGCCGTGAGCAACGCCGTGGACATGTCAGCAACGGCTTGTTTGAAGCAGGGAACCATTTGCCTGATGAACTGAAGTCATGCGGCATCATAAACTTATATATATACATATCTATTAATATATATATATATACATGTCTAAGTCAGCGATCAATCATCAGTAGCTGATGTAAATAAAATTAAGTTTTTAAGCTTATAATTCGCCATCAGTATTTCGGAACCCCTTGCCTCGGGCGGTGTTTGGCACAAAAAAAAAGCACACTTTGGTAGTGATTAATTGCGGTATATAAAGTATAAGCAGAAATGATGATTAATGATTAATTTTATATATATTATACATATTATACAGTATACACATCTATGCACGTCTTTGTGCGCATGTTTTATTCCAGGGCGTTTGTAGCTGGTGCCAGGCGTCATATTGGATTTCCCTACACGGCGTCAGGCAGTCCTTGTTGACCGATAGCGAATGCAAGGAGCCGCATGAGGTGCGATGTCTACCACGACATGTGGATTTCGTGCCCAGCATAGCATTGACAGAATAATGATGAGTTGAACATGTTCACATGTGTATATATATATACAGTATACATATATGCGGATGATTTCATATCAGTTCGCAGCCTATTCGGGTACTGCCGTGATGTATTTGGGGATTCAGGGTTGTTGTTGCAGTCTACACTGTGTACGCGTACGCTTTGTTCTGTTTGTTAATTTGTGTTACTGCTAAAGTGTGGCAACATGGCACGCAAAATCACTTGCCAAGCACATATTAGTTTGTGTTTTTTGTAACGTGATATCCGGTAGAGAGAACATTTGCATGCTGCGGTTTCATCTCTGGGTATGTTGTCGAATTCTGTATTTGTGGTACATTTCTATTGTTTCGATTGTAATTCAGCATTTTCCAGCCATGTTTGACGACCATTTTGGATATATCCCCAAGATATCACCATTATATCTCCATTACATCAACTTACAAGCCGCTTGTACTATACAAGCATTCCAGTTGATACTTGCTATTTATAGACCCATAGGATCCATGGTGCTGCCATATATGGTAACATGGATCCCATCAATATACCCCAGTCATGTTAGCAAATATACCAGCACCATGGATCCTATGGGAGATGATTTTCCCACCTATAAACTTCCATTTTATCATATAGGGAATGTTCCATTGCCGTCGAGTCTGCGAGTCTCAACTTGAGGCCATTTTGGTGACACGGGCTGCGGCGCTGAAGGCAAAATCTAAGGGCCCATGGTGCAGGGTGGTGTGATGCGGTTGATGTTGGTTATTGTTGGTTTATGTTGGCGATTTCGGTAAGTGAATTCTGAGGTCTATAGTAGATCATAGTGGGTCATAGTAGATCATAGTAGACATATCAGTTACCGGGGGGTAATGAACCGACAAACATAACTGGGGGCGAAACCATTTTGGAGGGATTTACCGATCAAACATAGTGATCTTTTCGATTATTATTATTATTGGATGTGTCAAGATGAATATGGAGAGTAACATCAGAACAGTGATATGCTTTGGAATGTAAAGAAAATAGTGGATATGTGATATGTGGCAGGTTGTTCCATCCACCTAGCAATCCAGACACTTCCGAAGCCTCCAAGTCACTGCGAGACTGGTGGCATAGGGTGGCTCGCCATGTTTGGCGCGCGAAATCAGACAGATCCCAAATCCCAAGTCCCCAACAGGATCTATGCTCAGGAGATTACAGTATCATTAATTACTATATGAATCTATGGTTCTTATGGTAACTGTGATTAATTATTATGGTAAATATTTCAGAAGTGTACCATTACTTATTAATCATAATCATAATGATAAGTGTACCATTACTTATCACTGTGATTATTGTGGTACACATTTTTTGCTTATCTGCTTGTTGTTATCATCAAAAAATCCATGGATGGAAACTTGGAAACCGTGCTTGGGCTTTTCGGAGGCGATGGTGGAAGACGCCAAACAATTGCTGACGATGATGGTGCACTTGTTGATCTCAGGTCTGGATCGGGCCCCTGGGGCTATCTCCATGTTTCGAGATGTGTGGACAACCTCGGTTAGCCTCTGGTTATGTCAAAATAGCTATTGAAAATTGCCATTTATTGTGGATTTACCCATTGAAAATGGTGATGTTCCATAGCTATGTTAAATTACCAGAGGGTAGTTTGATCATTCCCAGAAAATGATCTGAAAACCGTACGCGGATCGTTGGTGAAAAGCCACCATCGTTGCTGCGTTTCGGAGGATGCTACATGAATGGAATGAGCATCCCGGAGTGGGAAAATCAATCATGCGAGTTGATGGTTTGGCCATGCTGATAAAACATCAAATATCATCAAGTTGTTTTTGCTGTAGATCAAATATGATCAAATTAGGGTATATAACGGTATATAAGGGTATACTATACCAAATTTTCAGACAAACTCATCTTCATCACCTGAAATGGGGGTTCTTCCCCAAAGGATTGGGCCTTTGAACTGCATCCCAAGGCCCTTGGCCCAAAAGTTGGGAGCTAGGAGGGATATGTTTCTGAAAGCCTGGCATCTCTAGCAGGATCTAGCAGGATCTAGATTAGAACATCCCATTGATCCCATTGGCATTGAAATGCCTAGCAGATCCATTCGCAGTCCCTTCCCAATTCGTCCACATGGCTGCATGGTTTATGTGGAACCATGTTCAATGGGATCAGGTTCCGTTCTATCTTTGTTGTGTTCTGTTTGTTTATAGGTGTTTTTTCTGCTAGTGTATCATATTGTATCCATAAACATGGTCCAAGAGACATGGTCAGCAGTCAGTAGTGGGTATCACAGAATCCAATCCGAATGCCAAACATGTTCAAAATCCGTGATTCACCATGTCCCAACGAAGTCAGATGGAGTTTGGAGCGCAATCTTTGATGAAACCGGATCCTCAAGTTGGGAAGATTCAGATGAAAACTATAAATTCAATCTGGACACACCTACCTCTCTCCCTTGGGCGCCCATGTCACCTTCCATTTATGAAACGAAGTCTATACCAAAATCCATGTAATCGTCTCCTCCTTCATATTCAATACCATCAATGGCGAAAGTCTGATTTAGTATTGGATCCATCTGGGGCCCAGGCTATTGATGATATTCCATATTGGTGGAATAGGAAACAAATCCCTTTCATGCTTGGTAAAGTCTGCGGAAAGCTGCTTGAATCCTGTAAAATTGTTGGTCAAACCCTCGTTTTTGATGGATAGAACAGGATCAATCACATTTGTTTCATGGATAAATCACAATTTTTCATGGATAAATCGCCATGTTTCATGGATAAATCACAATTTTTCATGGATAAATCGCCATGCTTCATGGATAAATCGCCATGTTTCATGGATAAATCACATTTTTTCATGGATAAATCGCCATGTTTCATGGATAAATCGCCATGTTTCATGGATTTACCTTTAAAATATGACCTCAAATCTCACTGTTAAGCGGCCTTCCAGGTTTGTGCCGCTTCTGCTATGACTTGGACGATGAAGCACTGAAACAGCTTCAGGTGCGGATGAAACGTTGCTTTATAGCGAGGGTAACTAAGGTTTATGGTAGATACATCTATAACCCATAGGATCCATGTATGCCATATATGGTAACATTTACCATCAATATACCCCAAATGTTAGCATATATACCATACATGGATCCTATGGGATAGTCTATATTTGCAGTCTATAAATTATAAATATAACAGTCTATAATGGTTTATGCATGGTACATAAATCTATAGTTAATCGGATTTGTAAACCAACTTGTGACTGGGTGGCCCCGCCTTGCAGGAATTTGGCATTAAACCGGGGATTTGGGGAAAAACGGTGTTGCATCTAGTTTGGCCAGCAAAAAAGGAGAAATTCAACCAGCCGAAAGTGAGATATGTTCCATCAAAATTGCGTATTTCTTGCTCACACTGAGATTTCGGATATCTGTGTGAATTTGTGTGTGTATTTGTACTGTTGCACCCTACCGGAAGATATTTTTTCTGCACCTCTCCAAAACTAACATAGCTTTCTGGAAATCCACGGTTTCCCCGAAATGATCTGCGTTTCTGGAGGATCTGGGTATATGACAAGCATGACAAGTAGCAACAGATTCCTCATCCACGTTTGGTCAGTGCAATTTTACCGTTGGACGATGAGGAGGCAAACGGAACAGGAACAGTGGTTGACCCATTTTGGCGGTGTTTTAATTTAATGATTATTTACCATCCGGGCCCTCCGGGTAATCAAGCATGGCTAGCTGGAAAATCCCCTAAATGTGCATTTAAATGGGAAAATGATCGAACTAATCGATATGTTCCATTGCCAGGTTTGATTGCCAGAGGGCAAAGCAAATCAGAAGGTACAAGTAAATATCACAACTTTGTAGGAAAAACTTTGTAGGACTCTCCGACCACGAATGGCCAACACCTTTATGGTATAGGGATGGGTTTAGGGTTCGACTGGTTCGACAGCCCCCCTATGCCATCATCGTTGACGTATTGAGGTCACCAACCAGAACCATCAGATACCGTTTCTCCATGATTTCCCCAGTTTCTCCATTATTTCCCTGAGGTTTTCTTAGCTGATTGGTGGTTTGGAACATGAATTTTATTTGTCCATTCAGTTGGGAATGTCATCATCCCAACTGACGAACTCATACTTTTCAGAGGGGTAGGTCAACCACCAACCAGTTAGTTTCTTCATAATGTCTCCATCATTCCAAGGTTGTGTTTCCAAATTTGTGGATGATCCAATGATTTCCTATAGGTTGTACTAGCTTTTCCCGGGCTCCATAATTGTCCTATGCTTTTCAATTGAAAAATCTTAGGATGGGCAAAGCTTTTCCTAATGGTTATCCATCCTTTTCCTTAGCTTAGGGTCATCCTAATTAATTAGCTTATCATATACCATGATCCCCATGATTAGGATGGGCAAGCCGCCCAGCGTGTTGCAGCGACGCTGCAGAAGTTCCAGCGGCTGCAGGCACATTTGATGGTGCCATGGTTGTTGGAAATTGTGATTTCCAGTGGGTGGTGATAATCCTGTCATATCCTTTAAGACCTGGGGATATGAGTTGATAGTGATGGTAATCAATTTTGAGTTTGAATTTGTTTACCTGTGATATCCTTTGATGCGGATTCCCACACCAATGATGAGATGGATGGCCATCTTAGATATACTATGTAACTTGACCATAGCACATGTAGATTTGTCCCAAAATGGCTCTGTCTGAAAATCTATTAGCGGGGGCCATGATGATTAGGCGTTAAATTTGGGAGTGCCTTATTTTCGGAGAAATCCACAATTCCATACATAACATTGGGGATACGCAATCAATTATTGGGATATCAATTTGTTATTTTCTTGGGGACAATGGGGGTATAATGGGATCTGGCAAATGAACCAACAACGACGGGAAGAAACGTGTGAAATGATATGAATGCTGTCATCTGCATTTCGGCCATTGATGGCCATTAAAGAATGAGAATATTATGTTTTAAGCAATGGGATGGAAAGATATCGAATGGGTTACCATGCGCTTTGTCTATTTTCAGATCAAATTCATTGGCATTGCAAAGGGGCGCCTACATGATGGGAATACATCGCCTAATGCAAGGGACGTTTCTGGTATGTTCCCGAGCTCGCAAACAACCCAAAACCCTTGCCCCCCGCTCTCTGTTGAATAAACCCACCATCTGTAGTGGTGAATATAGTTTGTATGCAAGTGCCATGTTCAACGCAACTGCTGCTTTTGGTTTGCTTCTGGACTAAACAATGTTCAAGTCTCACTCTCATTTGCGTCCTAATTTAGTTTGCATTGCTCTAGATTTAGATGCATGAGTCTTCAAAGACTCCTTGACCCTCAAAAGTACCACAATTGTTTAAGCATGTTTTGGTATTTAAATGTAATTTCTATGGGGTGAATGAGTTTTCACATTCAGTACTTAACCTCTGGTAATCAATCTTAGCAATGGACAATCCATCATATGAGTGTTGTTCGATCATTTTCCAATATTTTCCAATTTCAATGTCCATTTAGCTAGGATTGTCCCATTTATAGATCTTATTTTTGTGTTTTGTTGTTTTATTTTCTCTTTTATTGACATGGCTATGGAGGATTTTCCAGCCATGGTTACAGGTGGAAATCCACAAGGGTGACCTTTCAGTGGCAGCGATCGATACGGAGAGGCCTCGGCCTCGGTGGGTGATTCCAAGATGGTTGAAGTATGTTGAACCATGGAATTTTATGACTTTCCATACCCTATGGATCCAAGTACCTTCTTAGGAAGTGTTTGGGGTATAATTTACTATAATTTGGAGGCTTAAGTCTTAAGTACCTTCTCAGACAGTGTTTGGATCCATAGGGATATATATTGGGAAATTCATAATCCCAACTGACGAACTCCATCATTTTTCAGAGGGGTAGGTCAACCACCAACAAATAATGTATATCAAATGTATATCAACTATCAGATATATATAAACTATACTATGTTGAAGTGGTTAAATATCCAATGTACATATATCAAAGTGCGTTCTTGTGTTTCAACAGGTTTATGTTGCATGTTTAAATGATGGTCGGAAAAAGTAGTTGATTATCTCATGTACATCCCATTAGCTTCCCATGTATATATAATAACTTTATAATATGATGAACATGTTGGTTAAATATAGCTAAATAGTATTCAACTTTCCCATTCATGATATTGTTAAGCATGTTGATGTCGAGAAGATAAGGAGGTTCCATGAAGATATCCAGACATGGTTATTTCTTGTGTTGGCAGCTTGGGGGGTGATTTGGCTATGGTTCAAAACCCTGGTACCTAGTCAAGCTGACATTAGCTTGCAAATAGATGTTCATCCCACTATAGTAACGATAGTAATGATAGTAATAGCTTCTGACTCACCCCATCTCATCCCCATTTTCCGTTTTTTTTTTGAAATGTTCTGTTTTTGTGGTTCCCCATAGGGGTGATTTGTTGGACATTGCTGGAATTTCCCATGTGTTTGTTGTCCGAATGTTCTGAAAAAAACGGCGGAGTTCTGGAGTTCTGGGTCTCCCTGAAAGACCACCAAGAACATTCGGTCGGTAGCTCCAAAACGACTAAGTAATAGATCTCTCACTTGACCGAGAATGGAACAAAAGAAGTCAACTGTTATTATCATGTGGGTAAACAATACTGTAATATCATGTAATATCTGTTTCATGTATTATCATATCGATTTCTTTTTTGAGGGGTCTATAAAAACAGGATACACGAGGATACAATTTATTTCCATCATAATTGTTGCGGATGGTATGGATGGTCATCAAGTGATCCTATCAGCAATGCTCGAACATGGCGCCTATCAAAGTGGTGGATATGGCAGTTTTCATCATGTCCACTAGGTCAAATATCGTAACATGATGTAAAATGTGGTAATGAACATATTGTAAAAGATGGTAAACTATGGGAAGAGGACAACATGGGATAGCAAGGTCAACATTTACTATAGCTTTTTTGGGATCACCTCCAGCCTTAGGAGATGCATTCCGTACTACCTGGTGGAACTTCTTCCAGGAGTTGCTGTCCCTTGGGCTTCGATGTTTGATCGATACCTGGGGATGCTGACCAGCTAGCCTAGCATAGCCCAGGACAAGTGGATGCCAATGCTACATATTTTTGTTCACAGGCCGGTACTACACACATTTTGGGTATGGCCGGATTGCCGGTATGGCTCAAATTTATTCAAAGATGTCAACTCCCAAAATGGAGAGTCTTATACTAAACCTGACCATTTTTAACGGGTCGAGTCCATTGGTATTTCAACTGAACCCAAACCCATTGTGATGCTCGACAGCATTCTGGCAGAAACTTCGTCCTGGCACAGACTTAGCCTTCTCCGATGGGGAGGCAATGCAAGTGTGGAGACGTTTCCTTACATGGGCTAATATGTGTTTCATTGATTTTCTAGACTGATTACTGTGATTTCATGGGGATATTTCATGGGATAAGGGCACAATATGTGTTTGGATGTGCCTGTCAATGGGGTAATTAGGCCCACTTTATGGCAATGTAGTACGGAATTCGATGATTACCCCTGGCCCTGGACTTAAGGGTGCCCTGTTTTCACACAAAACCAGATATTTGTCACGGTATGTTCCTTTTTTGACATGTTCCCTGACTGGGAGAACGTTCTTGGCAGTTGATGAGTTAAGTCAAGTTATACAGTTTTGCTCTCACATTTATTCCCATAGTCGGACAGTCGGTATCTCAATCATGTGCTGAGGTGGGCGACTTTTCATCAAGTGCTCAAGCTGTCAAGAGACTCGTGGAATGGCCGCCGAGCCGGCGACGATTGGGTTGGGGCAAAAAATATGGTGACCTGCATGATAAAGATCAGCCAGTTGTACTTGGTGGCTCATCCCACTTAGTAAATGGGTTAAGTAGGGTTAATCCACTTATAACTGGGGTTATAACCCACTTACCAAGTGGGATGAGCCACCAAGTATGGTTACTTTTTGATCGTCCAGTTTTATCACTGGATATGACATACCCTCTGGTAAACTAACATAGCTATGGAAAATCCGTATATTCATTGGCAAATCAACTATCATTGGGCCATTTTCTATAGCTATCTTAATTTACCAGAGGGTAGTTACATAACTGGGGTCCGATTGGAGTTACTGGGATGCCCATCCAAGTAAAGAACAGGGGAACTTATGAGCCGCGGAAAAAAAAACATGTTAATATCCCTGATGACCATCCAAGTATATATATATATATGTGTATATATATATATAGTGTCACAGTGGATTTCCACGTGATTGCAAGCTGCTCTTGTATAATTTCCCTTGACAATGAGGCTTTTGATGTACTTTTGATGGATTTCCAATGGATGATTTGGAGAAAAACTGCTCCACTTGATGGAGGGGCGACTACACCAACCCCCCTTCACAGGCACGGGAGTCTAAATGTCAAACTGAAGATAGTAATGATCATGACAGCTGGAAACTATACAACTTTTTGATTTTTCCCAAGTTAGGACCTAACCACCACTGTTTGTGGTGGTAGAAATGTGATTTGGCTCAAATCCCTCGCTGATTGTGGCCACTACTTGGTAAATAGTAAATACCAACAAAAGACATTGGTACTTTGTTGCTGAACATTCTGCTGGGTAAATTTGAAACATGTGTATTGGTTACTTCCACCAAAATCCCACCAAACACCATTGCACGAAACAAACAGACTGTAATCATAGTTGGTACCCTCCAGTTGATTAAGATAGACATGGAAAATACACATCTAAGATAGTTTCCAACTGGATAGTTTTTCGATTGGGAAAATACACCACTTCAAGATCATTTCCCTCCAGTTGATTAAGATAGAAATGGAAAATACACCATCTTTAATGGGAAAATCCACTATAAATGGTCATTTTCAACAGCTATTAATGATCATGTCCAATCGCGAAACCCATTCCGTGCCAGTCTCCAGCGTCGCTTGGACCCGCAGCTGGCGGCCGAAGGGGTCAGAGAGGTGCCGGACGGTTTTTCGACGGCGGGTCCACGCAGGGCTTAATAAATGTCTAGTTGTACCCGGCCTGGTAAACTAACAGTTTGCTATTGAAAATGGCCCAGTCGAAATAGTGGATTTAGCCAGCTATAAAATGGTGGATCTTTCCATAGTTATGTTAAGTTATGTAAACGTTTACCAGAGGGTAGAGCTGGAGATGGGGTCATAGTCATAGGGTTTCCATCAATGGGGTATCCCAAATAGCTGGATGATGACTGGGGGTACCCCTATTCAGGAAACCTCCATATAGATATTGGGGATACCCAACCCAAAAAAAGCAATAGTTATATTGGGGTTATATAAGTTATATATATATATATATATTAAGTTATTCATATGGACAACTGCTCATCTAATAATAGGGGTTTAACCGTTTAACCAACCAAAAAAAAGGATATCTAGTGGATATTAATATACGTATATTACAAACATATTAGTGGGTATTGGGGCTTAATAATTTCTTAATAAATGTCCCGGAGGGATGTGGTTCACATCACGTGAAAACAGTATTTGTTGGAGATCAATCCCCTTTTTTTGTTTGGTGATGTTCAATTCGGACATTTACCAACCCCTGAAGCTGGTTTGTGGTTTGAAATTTATGTTTAATCCTACCAATTGGACCATCAATCAATGGGGATATAACCCATGATAGATGCGGACATTGCATATCTAGCTACATTTTCTGGTTGGTGGTTTGGAACATTTTCTATTTTTCCATACATTGGGATAATCATCCCAACTGACATATTTTTCAGAGGGGCTGAAACCACCAGTTTTTGTTTGGGTCAAAACATGTCAAATCCCTAAGATGCATGGTTTACTGGATCATAGCCATCAGCCATACTCTTGGATGCGTAGCTCTTCCCGGGACTAGATGGGTTTTGCCATTTGATCCCATTAAAGTTAAACCGACTTAGCCGGGGATCAACTTTAAGCATCAAGTCTTTTGGGAAACGCCTTGAGATGGCGAAACCGCAGCTATGGACATCTATGGACCCAATATTTGCTGGGATGAACTTGTATATGAACATCCATCTACCATCATCTACCAGCGATTTTGAGACCCAGGAGCCCCCAGCCAGGGCGCCAGCATGCGCCAGCCCCCAGGATCGCTTGCACGAGGACTTCTTCGAAGTGGGTGATCGACTCTTTAGCAACCCGATGGGATTGGTAAACCAGATCTGGTTGGTTTTTTTTCTCAAACATTTGGCTGGTTAATAGTGGTTAACAGTGGTTAATAATCATTATCAATGGTGATATATCTGGTTCATAGTGATGGTTTTTATAGGGTTTCAAACATTTGGTGTTGTTTTCAACCATAAAAGGATGATTGCTTGAGATGACGTTTTTTTTTGGGCTAAAACCACTAACCATTGGAAATGGAAACCGTTGATGGTTTGGGGATAATCCCAGCAATAATCCAACGTGAATGAAGAGAGTCCCTGGAAATCCTTGCATCTCTACTCTTGCAATCACCACTTGGGGAAAGTTTTTCTTTTCCACTATCCCATCACAGTTGCTCTTTTCTAATGATTTTCACCGCGAACTTAAGGGTATCCATCTTGGCATGTGTGACAGGCGGCCTTCACACCGTTCTTTTGCATTCTTTTAAAAAAAGAGCTTGGTGAGGTCGCTGGAACAAATTCAATATATTCCACCATATAGACAGTTCATGGCAGTTCATAGTGTGAATTATATGTTATATTGTATTATATTATATTATATTATATTACATTTCATTATAATATATGACATTACATTATATTATATTATATTATATTATAATATATTATATTATAAATATATATATATATATATTGAATTTTGAATGTTGATTGCTTTTACATCCCTCCATAGATCTACCGTACCACATGAATCCAAATGACTGGTACATGTGAAGACTAGGACAGTTTGTTTTCACAACTACTCAGACCTTCCAACTACCCATATTTTATCCATGACCAATCCCTTAAAAACTATAGGGGTATCCTTTTTCTGGATATTATTCCAAAAATTCCCATATATCTCATTGAGTTCTTGGAATATGTGTTTTTTGAAGTCAAGTTATGCCGGAATAAGATTTTATTATTCTGAGGTACCCTCTTGTAAACTAACATAACTATGGAAAATCACCATTTTTTACTGGGAAAACTCACTATAAATGGCCATGTTCAATAGCTATGTTAGGTTACCAGAGGGTATGGTGACGGGGGTATACCCTTAAGGCATCCCTCATTTTTATCCCATGTTCCAGCAAAAAGTCGACGCAGAATCTTGGGCATCTCCATCACAAACTTTACCCTCTGGTAATTTAACATAGCTATGGAAATGACCATTTATAGTGGATTTTCCTATTAAAAATGGTGATTTTCCATAGTTATGTTAGTTTACCAGAGGGTAAGCTATTTTTCCACACCGTTTTTTGGTTCCCTGCTATTCAATTACTGGAAAAAATTCTAGGTTTTTTGTATTCCACTCGAAAAGTTTTTCGATTTGTTCGAGATATACCATTCAATTACTATACCCATGACGGATCCATGGTGCTGGTATATATTCTAACAATTTCTAACATAAAGGGGGTATATTGATGGGATATTATACCATATATTATACCATAATATACATGGATCCATGGTATATTTTTATGAGATCCATGGTGCTATCCATGGAGCACCATGGCACCATGGATCCGAGGCTCGATCCTGGCGGCACCTGGACGTGTCGGGCCGGGACCTCTGGGGAGTATCTGCGACCGACCTCGTCGAACACATCGAAGGGTCAACGTCAAAAAACCAGGAGGGTGGAGGGTAACACCTATTGTTTCGGGATCACTTTTGGGAGAAGTTGTTTTTTTTGGGGGTTTAAATCTTGAAAGTGATTTCAATGTTGTTCAACCTTTGATTTTGAATTTGAATCCATTTGCACCGAGATCTTTCAGGGTGGTTCTGATACCAACAGCCAGCACCTGTTTTGTTTTTCACATCATTCAGGCTGGGATGTAGCAGGGACGGATAAAACGACTGAGGCATCAGCTCAACTTGCTGTGTTTGTCCATGGAGCGAAGGTTGGCCGATGTCGACGCTGGAGCGGTGTGTCTGAAATCATGGTACCCCAATTTTGTATCAAGTTTTCTCTATGAAACATGGCTTTTATGAATAGTATTGTGGCGTACCCCGGTTTGTCGAAAACATCGTGGTTAGGCTGTAAAACGAGGTAGGAACACCCCGAGAACAAGGTAGGCATCGCACGCAAAGAACTAAGCTATTCAAAACAAGTGCAGCATTGGAGAATGAGGTCAGACCCCAAAAAACGTGACGGGACTGGAGAACGAGGTAGGAACACCCCGTCAAATGCGTTTTGTACCAAATGACTTCTGCGGCTCATGTACAGATGCGTATGAGGAAAAGCAACATGCTCCATTGCAAGTATCATGGATTTTCTGTCACCAAGAAATCAACAACATTGGGAGCTCCACGCAGAGTGAAGTGTTTTTGAAGGCCATCCCAACGATCAATATCCTGACGACAAATTCTGATCTTTGGATCTTTAGAGCCCAAGTTGCTGGATCTTCGCCCTGGCGTCAGAACGCCAGGAATCACTGGTCCAGGGAGTCCCCAACGGCCCGGATTTTGTGGGGCTTGGAGAATCGACTGAAAGGCTTCGGAGAGGACCTGTCGGACCTGGACCGGGTCTGGGAACCATGGGAATTTTCACGTTTTAGGACACGTTTTGCTCAATTTTAGGGGACATGTTAACGTAAATATTCCAGCACCATGGAGTAATATGTTCTGGTGGTTTGGATCATTTGTTGATTTTTCCATATGTTGGGAATAGTACTCCCATTTGACTAATATTTTTCAGAGGGGTTGAAACCACCAACCAGTGTTGATATATGTATATATATATGTTGTATTCCCAATGTAACACCCTTTACCAGGTTGAAAAAAACTCCGATTCCGACGTCGCGTTGTCAACGCAGGACGCACCAAACCGAGCGGCGTCCAAACCAGGCGCCAAAAAGGCGGTGTCGCGACAAGCAAACCAGGCAGATGCCGTTTGGACCCATGGACATCAATGGACTATGGATTGAGTTGCCCTCCAGTAAACCGACCAAAAACGATGGACAGTCACCATGTTTTATTGAGGTAAATCAATTATCGGGCAATTTTACATAGCTAATGGAAAAGGGGTATTCCCCAAGTCCTCATTTTTCTGTGAAAAGCAAAGTTTTTTGCAGTTGGAGCGCCTCATGTTCAGACAAACCCATTTCAAGAGTGTCATATGGAGGTTTCCTAAAATGGGGGGTACCCCTAAATCATCCAATTTATATATTTATATGTTTCATTAACCATCAAGCTATTGGGGTATCCCCATGACTATGGAAACCTCCCTATATTGTCATTTGGTTGGTGGTTTGGAACATGTTTTACTTTCCATAATATGGGATACTCCTTCCCATTGACTTTCATATTTTTCAAGATGGTTGTTTTACCACCAACCAGATTATTATTAACCATCATGAACTATATAATAACCATATATACCCATATATTAACAATTATTAACAATATATTAACATTATATTGACCATCATTAACCATATATTAACCATATATTAACCATATATGTATCGTTTTCCAATTTTCCCACTGGTCGCGGCTTGGTCGTGTCCTTCTCCGCGCCAGTCCTACGGTGAACCGGATCCCGGCGCCGCGTTCGGGCCGGGGCCCTTCCAGAGGGTTGAGGGCGGCGTGACCGTTGATCCAGGACGGTGTGGAACAAGAATCGGCTATAGCAGTAGGCTATAGGTTATGACTAATGGTGGTTTAATAGTGATTTACTGGTGATTTAATGGTGGTTTAATGGGCTTTAGTGGGATATAGTGGTATTTAAATGGGATTTACCCTCTGGTTATGACATTCACAGTTCGCCATGGAAAGATCCAGCATTTTTAAGTTCGGTAAACCATCTATTTCGATTAGGGCCATGGATTCCATGGCTACTACTATGTTAAATAACCAGAGGGTAGAATGAGAGTTGGGAGCCTGTCATGTAAACATGAGGGGCTTGGTGGTCTCAGCATGTCCCATGAAGAAAGCTTTCCCTGGCGATGTTGGGACACCCCAGCACTGGATATAGGAAGACTATGCTGGGAGATGAGAGGATTTGATACAATTTTTGTTAAAACATAGGATTATCAAATCCTCTCATGATAAATGTTAAACATCATTGATTATAAAACATTGATGTTATAGGATGTTTGAACCATGATAAATGTTAAACAATGTTTGTGCAAGCGACCATTAACAGATGTTCCCAAGAATTTGGGACATGGCAGATGACAATCCACTTGCAGTCAAATGGCTGTTTCTGCACGGCTAGAGGCCAGTTAGGACAAACACAGACATCGAGTATTGTATTTTTTTGGAATTGAGGATTGTCATGTTTTCTGAGGGACCAAAGCTATTATATATATGTATATATATATGTTAATATATGTATATTATATATAGTATATGTTAATATATGTATATTATATATAGTAATAGATCACATATATATATATATACATATATATATATATACTGTATATGTACATATTCCAGACCAGACACCGGCTCAGCACCTGAGGTTGGTGGTCTTGATCTCCAATCAGACCAGAGGGAGCACAGTGGCGGATCCTTGGATGTATTAGTGGTTGGTGATAAATCACTACTATAGATCGTATATTTAAGTAATATATTTAAGTGATACTATTTAGTAATTATAGTAGTATATTATATTTAAGTAATTGCTACTATATTAGTGTATACTATATTAGTGATAGTATATATATATATAATTAGTAAGTAATACTATGATACTAATATAGCTGGTTGGTGGTTTGGAACATTTGGATTATTTTCCATAGATTGGGAAGTTCATAATCCCAACTGACTTTCATATTTTTCAAAGGGGTTGAAACCACCAACCGGATAGTGATTTATCACTAAGTGATATTACTAATCACTACTTAGTGATAAATCACTGTTAGGGATGAATTGTTGTGATAGATCACTCTATAGAAAAGTAAAACGCAGACTTAATTATATATATAGTGATAAATCATCGTTCTATCATTTTAGGGTGTACGAAATGTAGTAAAGACCGTGTTCAGGGCTTGGAAATCTGATGGCTCTCCTGTACTTAGTGAGTCCTCCAAGCATCTCTAAACCTTTGTTTCCAAATCCTTATCCAAAAGGATACCTTTGGCAAAAATCATGGGACGCACCATCAAGAAGCCCTGCAGGAATTGTTGAAACGACTGGAGGGTCCTCAGTGTCTCTTCCTGGAAGACACCTGTGGAAGTGCGTTGGAAGTCAGAGCCTCAACGGGCTAGCGGCTAGCGGTGGGTTGGTGGTTGGAAATAAACTTTCACAAAAAACGACTGGTGTGAGCACATTCACACCTGACACACCTGATTTGAATTTGAACCCATTACCTATAGTTTTTTTTAGTTGGCTTCATACTTGTTGTTGGAATCATCCCAGTGCAAGAATGTAAGATTATAAGACTAGCAGAGGTTTTCCGACCCTCTTTTAGAAAGTCCCCAATTGCATTTTCCCATGTAGACATGGCTTGAAGAAATCTGAAGCAGCTATACGTGCCGTGCGAACCGTGGTGCTTGGATCAATCTTAATTTTGTCACCCCAAAAGGACCATGAGAGGTTTCCTAAGTCACAGGGGTACCCCTAGGGCCCTAGTCATCATCCATTTATAGATGGATTTTCCATGAAGTAAACCATGAAGTAAACCATGAAGTAAACCATCCAGGGAACTTGGGGTAGCCATATTTATGGAAACCCAACTGGGAAAGGATTGGATGGTTTCCATACCATTGGTGGTTACCATTGGTGGAAATCTGGACACCTTTCCCATATTTACCCTCTGGTAATTTAACATAGCTATTGAAAATGGTCATTTATAGTGGATTTACCCATTAAAAATGGTGATTTTCCATAGTTATGTTAGTTTACCAGAGGGTATCAATCAATTCGATTCTTTCTCGACTGGGAAAGGTCCAGTCCTTGCAGAAGTATGATTTGATATCATCAAGTATCCAGGTCTGGGATTGTTGTCCGAGAGGCCAAGATCTTGCTTCAAAATGGAATTCATAAGGAGATGTCCAAATACCCTCTGGTAAACATACAAAAAACTATAGAAAACACCATTTTTTTATGGGTAAATCAACTATCAATGGCCATGTTCAATTATGTTAGTTTACCAGGCCGGGTAGATTCTGGATGATCTCCAAAATTCGGTTTTATTCATGGATTTAAACCATCATGAACCATGGTTCGAACACCAATAAATCCCATGTGTGTCCCCCAGGCCTTGGGATACAATTGCCATAGCAACAACGAAGAGCAGCAGGGGATGCCTAGAGCGAAGCTGTGGATGGTCAGATCAGCTACCCCCCAGCTAGCGGCCCTGGAAGACCCCAGGCCCTCACGAACTCTGGAGGTACCGACAAAAATGTTGCCGGCCCTGTTTGGTATAGTTCGAAAAAGGGGTATGAACTCAACCAATTAATATCGATGATCATTGATGATATTGATGATCTATGTTCTTGTTCGACAATCCCAAATATATATATATATATATATATTGGTTGTTTTAGTCACATAAAACCAACTTTAATATGTTGTTCAATCACATAAATCCAAGCAACAAACTAAGTAAACCATCATTTAAACCATCACATAAAACAAACGAAGTAAACCATAGTAAACCAACATCACCTCCGCGCCCACCTCCGCGCCATGGGCTGGCCATGGGCCGGCCATCGCCCTTAGGCGCAGTTGTTTATATCCTGGCCATGCCAGCCTCATCCTCCAGACGGCCCCAGGCCTCAGGTGACGAATGGAGGTACCGTTCAAAATAAATCGCTGGATGGAGAAATATCATGGGAATTGATGATTAAAAATATGATGATTGATTTAAATATTCAAACATATCATGGAAATATGGAACATTTTATATATTGTTCATCTTGTTAAAATGATTCAAAATCTTTTGAACCTGGATGATTTGGGGCTAGATTTTGTGAAAGCTCTATCTTAAAAGTGAGTAAATTGAGACTTTGTGAATGACTTAACCTTAAGTACTCGTATCAGCCAGGGGCAATTTTTATTTAGCCATCAAACCATGAGGATTCAATGGGTGCAGTCGATGGCTGGAGAAATCATGTCGCGACCGAGCGACGTCACTGGATGCTGGTGAGAAAGGGGTAGCGATTTCCCGGCCGAACTTGGAAAGGCAGGTCATGTAGTACTGGCCGAAGTTATTTGTTTTGTCTAGTCATTAGTATGATCATTCTTCATCTGTGTGTTACACGCACCTTTGGCCTTAGGCTGAGCTTGAAAGGCAAGAGCCTGCATTGGTGCCACATGTGGCATGGCGTCGGCATGTGAGGGATCTCAGCCAGGACTCTGCGTCGCCCCATGGAAATGCTGTTGTGGTATCCCTTTGAGAGACCTCAAACACCTCTTTTAACTAAGTAATTGTGCCAACACGTTTTACTTAACTAAGACTGAATTGGAAGTTGGACTGAACTGGAATTTGCAATTTAGATTTTCCACCATCCACTGTCAAACACTTCCCTCCTCCAATTGTTGCTCTCCCAATATGCTAAGGCGGGCACACGCCACGTGCTGCACAGCATTTTGGAGTTGGGCAGTTCCTTATGGGGATCGGGCCCTAGAAGCCATGGTTTAGTATTGGATCTATTCATATCGTGGGGTATTTACTACTGGGGGGCGGGATTGACAGGGTCATGTTTTTTTTTTTAATGATGAGTATGGCTCAGAAATATTCACAAATATGGTCACCCCGAAATCAATGATTACCCTCTGGTGAACTAACATAGCAATGGAAAATCACCATTTTTAATGGGAAAATCCACTATAAATGGCCATTTTCCATTGCTATGTTAGTTCACCAGAGGGTAAATACATAGAAAAGATGCTACATCAATGATCAATCTGAGGTGGTCCAATGGAATACAACATGCATCAGGTCGTCATACCATGCCATAGCAATCTCCGAACTTGTGCTTTTTGTAGATGTCTATAATACATGAATGCATAAAAAAGACGTCCCTAACCATGAGCGGATTTCGTCCTAACTATGAACCGACAAATTCTTGACCATGATCGAAATATAGTCTTAAACATGGCCAGGATTCTATTCTTAACCATGAGCATGTTTTTCACTTAACCATGAAATATCGGATTATTTTGCATGATGGGTCTAAACACTTTTAATTAATGTAATTTGGAAATAGAACTTTCCGAAGCTGGGGTCTTGGAAGATCAGTCCTCAAAGTTGTTTTGGTGAAATAAATGCCATGAAAACAACTTTGGAGTCTCCTGAGGTGCATGAAGATTTTTCGAGTTGCTATACCCGACAGATATTCAGAGGCCCATGATATTCAGCGGTTTACACGGGAAAATCTAGAGGACACCCATGATATTCAGAGCTAAACACCATGCTTTCCACCATGCTATCCTCCAAATCTGCTTGGTGGTTTGGAACATGATTTTTATATACTTTTATGACTTTCCATATAATGGGAAGTTTATAACCCCAACTGACGAACTCATATATTTTTCAGAGGGGTAGGTCAACCACCAAGCAGATTTTTTTGTTTCCACGTCATAATTCCGGGTATTCATCACTGAGTCATAGCGAGGCCCAGAGAGCTCCATCTGGATCATGGATTTTCGTTGGAGGGCCCAACTGGCGGCTTCAAAGGGCCGGTCTCTGTATGTCTCTGTTCAAAAGTTCGGACCAGGCGACAGCATCAGCGGTGAGCCAGCCTCGAACTAGTCATCGTGTGTATATATATATAATTTATGTATATATATATATGCGTGCATATGCATATTAATATCATCACTACTAGCAGTTTAAGCAATATACATTATATACATTATACACATTTGTCAGTAAGCAACTAGTCATGTAACTACTATATACGGTTTTCTGATATTTTCGAGATCTCAGATATCTTGGACCGCCCAGGCCCTGAAGCCAAATGCATCGGGCAAAAGCCGTTAGCTGAGCAGTTGAAGGATGAACCTCAGAAGAGGTCGGGAGAAACACTTCGATTCAGTCCTTTCTGGCTCTGGTCATTGGAGGTACCCATATATACCCTATGGATCCAAACACGGTCTGAGAAGGTACTTAAGCCTCCAAATTATAGTAAATTGTACCCCAAACACTTCCTAAGAAGGTACTTGGATCCATAGGGATATATATATATAATATACATATAGGGTATAGTGTAAAATCAACACTTTCCATATCCATAAAGAACTGGTTGGTGGTTTAATAATATGGTTTAATGGTGATTATATAATGGTGAGTAATCATGGTGATTAATGATAAATTAACTGGCTGGTGGTTTGGAATATGGTGGTTAATAGTGATGGTTGTTATAGTGGTTAAAGATGGTATAAACCAACAACAATGGGAATATGATGGTTATATACTGGTTGGTGGTTTGGAACATTTTTTATGTTCCCCAATAGTTGGGATTGTGATCCAATCTGACTTTCATATTTTTCAGAGGGGTTGAAACCACCAATTAGTATATATCATGTATGGTGAATTTTCACCCCCATGTAATCTATGGGAGGGCTCTCATGGGTTTAGTGAACACTAATGGAGAAACATGGCAGCCCTGCAAGCCAATGTATAGCCATCGTAGGGAAGCCATGTCTGTGCACAGGAGATTGGAAAATCAACTGGGGCTGCTTAATTTCGCTGGATAGGATGTATGCTGAGAGTAAACTGTAGATTTTTTATGGCATTACCGGCATTACCACATAAAATCGACTATGGCTATGGGTCAAGAATGATGTCGCTTCTTGACTTACACCGTCAAGTTGATGGATATCTAAATTCATGAGGAAATAGAAGCTACCCTCTGGTAATTAGCTATTGAAAATGGCCATAGAAATAGTTGATTTTCCCATTAAAAATTAATGATGAAAATCGCGATTTTTCATAGCAAAAGGAGCTGGTACTGGTCCAGATCTTTCGATGGCCCTTGATCCATCCCTGGGTTGCAAGGCTAAAGCTGGTCAAGAAACCAGACGTGCTTCTGGGGATGCCTCCAGAGACGGTTGAGCCTTTGGAACCCTCCAAGGATGAGGCGCTGCAGTGCGACGACTTTGTTTTGATGGCTTCTGATAGTCAGACCTGTTACCCAAACATATTATAACTGGCTGGTGGTTTCAAACATTTATTTTATTTTCCATAGTATATGGGAATATATGGGATAATCCTTCCTATTGAATAATGTGTTTCAATATGATTAAAACCACCAATCAGATAGTCATATTAACCTTGCCTTTAGCAATCAAAAAGGTCACTTTATGCCTCAAAATGTCAAGGGTCAGAAGTATCACTGCGGCTTCTTTTGCCAGGGTATTCCCTACCACAGCAGTGGGCAATTGATGACAATTGGTGTCTTTTGCCTACATTCAGAAAGCCACTTATCCCATCTTGTAACGGCCAGCGGAAGGCCCCAGTTCGCTTTCCCACAGAGACCCCATGGGTCGGATGCCCAAGACCTATTGGCCCCGTTTCGACCTGTCAACTCAGTGGAAGGTGTCCTGGGATGTCTGGGTATGTTGAACAGGCTCGGCCAATGACATTGAATGATAAACCCTGGCATGTTCTGCCTATCGAAAGCCGTACTTTGTTTCTGATGATTCCTCAACTTAGCCATACTTGTTTGGAAGCTTTGCGAATAACATCCCATGTGATTTGATGTATTTTGACAAGAGATCTGTTTTGACAAGATCTCTCTTCGCTTGTTGTTACTTCATTTCAAATCCTGAGTTCGCGATTGCTTAAATATATGACTGGTTGGTGGTTTGGAACATTTTTTATTTTCCATCATATATGGGAACATCCTTCCCATTGACTTTCATATTTTTCAAGATGGTTGTTTTACCACCAACCAGATTATTATGAACCATACTTAACCATATATTAACCATATATTAACCATATGTTAACCATTTATTAACCATATATTAACCATATATCAACCATATATTAACCATATATTAACCATATATTAACCATATGTTATGGACTTTCAAGATTTCAGTCACGCTTTGGGTCCCCAGTTCTTTTTGCTTCGGCCGTTGACCCGAGGCCATTCGACTGGCAGAGTACCAAGCGATGCATCAGCAGTCGCTGGAGCGAATGAAGTCCATGAAGGCTGGGAACAGTTGGATAATAAACATGTATACTGTTACAATTATATTGTATACATATATGAAATTATATACAATTATCAAAGGAAGTTTAGGGGGAGAAACTTCCGTGTTACGGACTTTTAGAATGTCAGGGAAAGAGTTAGTCAAAGAAACAGTTAGTCAGGGAAAGAGTTAGTCAAAGAAAGAGTTAGTCAAAGAAACAGTTAGTCAGGGAAAGAGTTAGTCAAAGAAAGAGTTAGTGAGGGAAAGAGTTAGTCAAAGAAAGAGTTAGTGAGGGAAAGAGTTAGTCAAAGAAAGAGTTAGCAAAGAAACAGTTAGTGAGGGAAAGAGTTAGTCAAAGAAAGAGTTAGTCAAAGAAGTTACAGTTAGTCAGGGAAAGAGTTAGTCAAAGAAAGAGTTAGCCAGGGAAAGAGTTAGTCAAAGAAAGAGTTAGTCAAAGAAACAGTTAGTCAGGGAAAGAGTTAGTCAAAGAAAGAGTTAGTCAAAGAAAGAGTTAGTCAAGGAAAGAGTTAGTCAGGGAAAGAGTTAGTCAAAGAAAGAGTTAGTCAAAGAAAGAGT